CTGAGCTATGTAATTTGTGACAAGCACGTTGTATTATAGAGGTAGTTTTAGTTTTCTGACTAATATGTATACACCATGGGAAATTGATTTTTACAAAGTTTTAGAAAACATTCATATAGTTATCATATTTCGCATGAATTTATTGAATCAAAAGGTGGAAGTGTGTTAAGTAGCTTTGCTTTAATATCGATCATTCAAAATAAAGTTGCTTTGTCTTATAAAATCGGTAATTCTAGGAAGGAAGACAGATAAGATAGTTTTCCTTCGAGAGGGAATTGTATTCATAAGTTCGCCTTATGTAGTAACTTAGAGGAATTCTAAAAAATGATTTTAACTAGAGAAATAAATCAGCATTGTTGAATTGACATTGAAGAGACCAGTGAGTGACATCGTACTCTAGGAGGCCTCTTCATCTGAACTCGAATGAGAAACGACTACTTCGATGTGGGTCTGTGTGTGTGTGTGATATAGAGGAGATCATGTGATTAGGAGGAAATGAAAGCTTCAGGGCAGTCGTGGAGGCATCTAAAAAAAGATTTTAGAGAATCGAGTGAAATGATACTTAGGCCTCCGAAGCCCTACTATGGTCACACTCGAAACCTAAGGGAATAAAAATAAAATGACAACATATCATTTCGAATAGTCACCCTTATGATTACTATGGGGAAGTTGAAGGTATATATTACAAACATGCATGTTTAGGTATATCACGGAATGTGCCGTTTATGCGTAGCCCATTTTTAATGAAATATATATATATATATATATAGAGAGAGAGAGAGATTTACGAATCTACCTGTCTAGGTTCAAGATCACAGTTCATCTGAACTCCTTTAGCAACTCTAAACAGCTGATCATCTGCGTTGTCTAACTTTACAGACTTTGATAAATAGTTACAACTGGGTGAGATGGAATAACTTGTTTGACAATGGTTATCAGTGAAATAGAAATCACCCTATCTGTTCCAGAATACAAGTCCTCCTCTAGCGGATGTAGCTGTCTTCTAAGTGTCACTGCACTCATTCGTCGATTAGATGAAGCATCTAAGAGTAGAATTAAGGGACTGTGATAAAAAAATAAAATTCTATACTGGATAAATTTATTTTTGATATAACACGTAGTGTTATACTGTTCCCCTGGTTTATTCTTTCCTGGCTTGCTTAAAAAGACTATGTCACACTGTGTCGTAGAACTCTGAAGACTGACTGTCAGTAGGGCAAGTGGTATCCCATTGTGCAGTATCGTTGACATAGTTATTGTTAAGCACTTGGTGTCATGCAACCAATTTGTTAAAGGAATTTTGTCAGACTGTGACCATCCACTACAGTACCAGCAGCTCCAACCTTCTGTCTCATCAGATAAAACAAGGAGCCTTTTCAGAAGACTTAATGGACATACGTTTAAGTATAAAACTTCCACCATACCATATTTGGCAGCACGTACTTCATGTGATGAAAACAGTGTCAGGCATGAACTAACTAACCTTCTTTGCACTATTAAATAAACCATTTCACCCACCCTTACAATATAAAACTTTATTGTTATTATATTTCTTATATTTATAATCCTAGCAATTTGTTTGTTTTTATTTGTTTATTTTTTCATAAGTGTGAACATCATTTAAGCTGCTATAACTGTTAACTAGGTATTTCCCCTCACCATGCTGCTATATCAACAGAACATTAGATTCAATAATCTATAACATGCTAAAATTTCCAAACTCAATCGCCAATGCCGTTTGAAACAAACTCACTGTTATAATTATTATATTTATTATTCTCAATTGTACTTCGAAAATTTTTGACTTTATATCGTAAATCTGGACAAATTCCTCTGGTTAATTTTGTTTTTATTTTTAATTTTATTTATTATTATTGTACCCTTTAATTCCCGGAGGAACATAGGGCTTCAGCTGTGCACCTCCATTGCCTTCTGTTTTCCGCCAACTTTATCACTCCGCTCCAAGTCTGCCCACATGCTTTCATCTCCTCTTCACATGACCGCCGTCAAGTCACCCTTGCACTGACGACCAACTCTCCGCTTCCCTTTCGGGTTCCACTCGAGCAACGGCTTGTCTAGTGATGTCACTTGATGGTTTGTTTTCTCAGAGTATGGCCAATCCATCTAAATTGTTTCCTGCCTATTTGTTGCACAATCGGTTCCTGATTGGTTCGCTCATTGCCAGAGATCCCTGTTGCTGATCTTTTCTGGCCGGCCATTTGATCTTGAGTATTATTGAGCGAAGACAGTTAGCTGTTAATGAACGTCTGTAGTTTGTTTGAGGTTCTCTTTATGGCGCACTGGCGAATTCTCTGATCCGTATAGTAGCACTGACTTTACATTGGAGTTGAAAATCCAGATCGTCAGTTCCGCCTGTAGTTGAAACGATGCTTCCCAGGTGGGTAGGTAGGTAAGGGATGTTGTTTCTTTCAGGTTCCTCCCATGTATGCTGGCTGATTGTTGTCTGTTGTTGTCGCTGTTGCTGTTGGCCAGGAATCTTCATCGTCTCTGTTTTATCTATGTTCACGTGAAGTCCTATCTTTGATGCTTCTTCTGCCAACTTGTTGCTTTTCACTTGCATATCTTCCAGTTTGTGGGAAATCAGACATATATCATCGGTGAAGTCCAGATCCATCAGGTTTTTTGTGAGTCCATTTTATGCCTGTTTCCTCATTGCTCGTTGTCTATCGCATCATCTAGTCTACTGCAATCAGGAAGATTATTGGCGATAGTAGACAGCCTTGCCTCACTTCCGTCCTCACTTCGAAGGATTCCGTAAGTTTCCCGTTGTGGATTACTATGTTTTATTTATATTTTAAGTAAATCAGATGCAGTATTGTGACAAATGCTGAGAATTCCATTCTGTATTATAAGTACTGTTTTTGGAATCAAGTAGATTATTATTATTATTATCATTTGAAAAAAGCTCAGCCTTACATGTAATCACACGATAGGCTAGGCTAGGCTAGAAGTATTCAAAAAGTAATATAATTAGATGAAAAGATAGAGGTTAATTAACGAATCCTTTTTTCTCATCGAATCAACACTAAACACGTGCAGTTGGAATGGTGCAACGCCCATCCTTGACGTAAGGAAAATCGCAGTAAAGAGGAGAAAGGACACAGTGTGAATAAATCGATTATAATGATTATGAGCAGTAATTTATTAGCACACTGTCAATGGATGTTATATCATTCAGAACTTATCTTATATACATGAAATATGTCTTCTTGTTGTACAGCACACAGAGGATATTTTTGTTTCACCTAAGGTTGATGCATTCAAAAAACCACAACTATCCTATTACCACTTTGTAAGTACGATATTAATAATAATAATAATTTATAATTAAACGGTAGAAAGGGTGACACCATAAAATACAGAAAGATGAACAATGAAAGGGTCGATTCACTGTGCTAATTACATAGTAACCTATGTGTTTCACGTCTAACAGAGTCTTCGTCACATAAAGAATTTCTGTACTTAGTGGTACGAGCATATAACTTTTTATACGGACATCTCGTCCTACCTGATGAGATACAAGGGGATAGGTGTGAATAAAGGGGGTGCAGAGGGTCTGAGTGTATAGCCTTTGCCCATTTTGTACAGGAATTTATATGACTGTCGACTATAGTATTAGCGAACTCATGCAGTGGCAGACCACAAGCCCTACTCACAGCATTCAATAAATACCCTTCGTAATATGATATAATCTTTTTTGAGAACCCCAGGAAAGATTAATGGAGAGTAATAGAGTACGATAGGTAAAATACAGGAGTTTAAAAATTGCAAAACTAAAGGTTGGTTCATACCTGATTGTTTTAACTTTTTAATGTAGAAGTTAAGACGAAACATTTTCTTAGAGATAGATAAGATATGGGATGACCATGAAAAGTCAGAGGAAAGAACTAATCCAAGGTATTTAACGCTTTACTTGGTTTCGATTTCCGTGCCATCTATGCTACAGGGATCATGCGAGCTAACTAGTTCATGTAAGTCACGTCGATGCTTGAAAGTCAAGTCAGCTGCCTGACATTTGGAAGGATTTAACATAAGATCATTTGACTTGGACCACTTGTTGATGTCCAACAAAAAGCTATTAAGTTTGGAGCTGTCAGACTCGGAAGTGATAGGCAGTGACACATTCAGATCATCCGCATATTTGAGAAAGTTAGTTTCGTTTAAATGAGGCAGGTCATGTAGGAAGAAAGAAAAAAGAAAAGGAGACAGGATGGCACCTTGAGGAACATCGGTTTTTGTTAGCGAGGTAGAAGAAGATTTGTCATTATATACAGGATACTGCATGCATTTTATCAGAAAAATAAGAATGCAGCCAGCTCTTAGTCCAGGATCCTGTTTGCACCAACAAAAGCTTATTTGATAAAAGTTACAGAGTCAAATGCAGATGTGTAGTCTAAGAAACCATCACGAACATATTTGGCACCTTTGTCTAAGCAAGAACAAACACTTTCACATAAGACAACCGCAGCATCTAAGATACATCTACCGTGTTTATATGCAAATTGTTTGAGATCATTAAAAGGTATCGATAAAGGTTCAAGATGAAGTAAAATAATTTTTCCATCAATTTCAAAAAAAGGAGGAGTAATTACAACAGGCCTAAATTTAATAGCAGTACCAGAAGATGGTTTTGGTATGGGGATAATTTTAAGGTTTTTTCCATACAAAAGGTAGAACATTACTGAAAAAGGAAGTATTAAAAATGTTAGTAAGAGGGTAACACAAAATATCAGCACAGTTCTTCAGGACAATTGCTGATACACCATCAGGACCAAGGCTTTGGGAAGTCTTAAGAGACTGAAAATATTTAAGCATGGAAAAGAAGGAGGACTAAGGTGTGTGAGATTAGCAGTCTTGCCTGTATAACTTACCACGGTGATAGGAACTTCATACCTGGAGCTTGAAGCCCTACCATCCACCCAGGATGCAAACAAATAAGACAGATAATTGGGAAAAAAACATATAAAACGGATGCTTACTAATTTTTTCAAAGTAGTCTCCAATAAACTAACTGAATCTTTTGTTCTCTGAAGTTTTTCCAAAGTTAAAGCATGCAGAAGAATGCACTCCATGTCAGATTGATGTTGATTTTGATTGGTTAACAGAACTAAGTCTGCTTCAGTATATCTTCCCAGAAAGTAATAGGATAATGCCTAAAACACAGGGATTTAAGAGAATCTATGGTGAAAAGACTATCTGAGAATTCTAAAAAGTGTTGTCCATAAGAGAAGCAGAAGACAGTATAAAGACTATGACTAAAAGTTGGCTTAGAAAGAATGCCAAGTGTACAGCTTTTATTGTTCTACTTCATAGATCTATAATACCTGATGTGGTTTAAACTAGAACCGATCCAAGATGAATAAGTGGATGAGAACCTGTTTGAAATGCCTGCCAGTTTCACCATATATAACCAACCAAGGATAACAAAGGCACCAACCGCCCTCAAAAGACAAATGTAGGTCCCTAACTCAACCTTAATCACAGACTTTCCTTCATCTAAACCATTCCTTGACTAACTCTAACCCTAGAATCTTCGATATTCTTCACTTTAGCCCTAATGCTTGTAAATTACACTGTTTTCTAAAGAAAGCTTTTTGAAAGCGGTTGTTAATTTGTTCTTAGAATTATTTTAGAAGTTAGAAAAGATTCGTAAAGTGTGTTTAGTCATTAATTATTTTTCTTTCCATCGCCAGTCTTCAGGGTGATCAAAAGTATTACTTGCGTCTAGATAAGAAGTTCTCCATAGTTCAGTGGATTTTATATACTGCGTAGATTCATCACTCAATGAAGTTTATCATGGGAAACAAAAACTATCGCACAATTATTTTCTACTCACACCAATTCTTTTCTGGTTAACACTGTGATTTCACCGTGAAAAACATCTTCTTGGCTTCATCACAAAAGTAATTTGAGTAGAATATTGTAAGATGTTGGTAGTGCTGTTGCTTAGCTACAATGTGCCGCCAGTCAGTGAAATCCACAACAGTTAGATTAAGCCAGCCATTAACGTAGGAAGATGTAAACTTCTTGGCTGGTTGGGGTCCTCGGGACGGTAAAAACCAATGAAAGCTGGATACAATCAATGATATGGCTCAAAATCGTTCTCAACGGCTGGCGCAGTTAGATGTGACTTATATTACCCAATGAAACTATGTTGTTCTTCGTTATTACTGTTCCTTTGTCTCACGCCTCTGTTTACTGTCTCTAATATGCATTTCTTCTACTTTCTACTCTTGCTTTGTGTGCTACAAGGAGTGGAATGTGGCGACTTGAACTGCTGCACATCAGTGCAAAGTTCTATGTCGAAAACAGACAGATAGACAGACAGACACTGTGCCAGTATTACTAAATTTAGATTGCCTAATTAATCGATAAACCAGTACTCTACCTAACTTAAACGTACTGATAACAAAACGCAAATAAAAAGGACTCAGTTGGTTAGTTAGTTAGTAGTCCTCTCTAATGAGTAGTGTATTTGAGCAGAATAAAAATGTAAGATTATTCAGAAAATACGAATTAGAACCTGGGAACTGTGGTAGAATATAACTCCATTATGGATAAGATTTTATTTTGATAAATCAGTAAATGAAAAAGGAACCTCACCAGATTACTAGCTTGCTAGTTTTCTAGCCAGTCCCAAGCCCGGATAAAGAGGGAGGGTTGGGGCGTGGTGCTAGCAACTCCACCCCTGTAAAACAACCAAATCGCTACAGAAACTTCAACGAATAAATATATTAAAAATTCTAAAAACATAAACAATAGCCTTATTTTTCGCTGGAATCGGGGAAGTGAAATGACGCAGGCTGGTGAAAGCCTTCGGGAAGCCAGTCAGCCGATGTGCCTTCTTTCGATGAAAGCAAAAGTAAGGATGGGTACCTGGAATGTTCGCACAATGTACGAAACTGGAAAGGCTGCCCAGATAGCCGCTGAAATGAGAAGGTACAGAATAGAAGTGTTGGGAATCTGCGAAAGCAGATGGAACGGAACTGGAAGGTGCCAACTACCTACTGGAGAGACAGTAATCTTTTCCGGCCACCTAGAGGACAACCACGAGCACACCGAGGGAGTGGCCATCATGATGTCACCAACAGCAACCAAAGCTCTCATGCAGTGGGAACCAATCTCCTCCAGGATAATGACAGCCAGGTTCAACTCAAAAGGAAGGAAAGTTACAGTCATTCAATGCTATGCGCCTACAAACGTCTCAGAACAAGAGAAGAAGGAGGCGTTCTACAGACAACTACAAGCAATAATGGACAACGTCCCAAATGGCGATATCAAAATCCTGATGGGCGACATGAATGCGAAGCTGGGGGGAGACAACACAGGAAGAGAACTCACCATGGGTCGTGAGGCCCTCGGTGAAATGAACGACAATGGTGAACTCTTCTCAGACTTCTGCGCCTTCAATGATTTGGTGATTGGCGGTAGTGTGTTCAAACACAAGGATATACACAAGACGACATGGATTTCACCAGATGGAAACACCAAGAATCAAATAGACTTCATCTCAATTTCAAGAAAGTGGAGACGGAGCCTACTGGACACAAGGTCAAGGAGAGGAGCAGATGTGGGTTCAGACCACTATCTAGTACAAGGGACTTTCAAGGTGAAACTAAAAGCCTCGAGGATAGCTGGGGATAGGCCACAATGCAAGTTCAACACTCAGAAACTGAAGGACACAACCACAAAAGACACTTTCACTGCAACTGTCAGAGCAAAGCAGGAAACACTACGCGACATCACTGAAGAATCATGCGTGGAAGAACATTGGAAGTCTCTGAAGGCGATTCTCAACGAAACGTGTTCAACGGTTCTAGGAAGAAAGAAGAGACAAGACAAGGAATGGCTCTCAACGGACACTTGGAAATTAATAGAAGAGAGGAGAATGGTGAAAGAGAAAATGATTCAATGCAAGGACGGACAGGAGAAGGAGACGCTGAGCTCAACTTACACAGCACTGGACAAAGAAGTGAAGAAGAGTGCTAGGAAGGACAAAAGACGATTCTACGACAACCTGGCTACTGAAGCTGAGAAGGCAGCAGGCAAAAGGGACCTGAGGACACTATATCAGATAACCAAATCTCTATCCGGGAAGAGATCAACACAAGCGAAACCTATAAAAGACAGCCAAGGGAACCCAATTACCAAGGAAGAAAAACAGATTAAACAATGGGCGGATCACTTCAAAGGACTCTTGAACCGACCATCACCTGCAACCCGTCCAGAAATACCAACAACAGCGCGAACACAACTGCAAGTTGACACCAATCCTCCAACGAGAGCTGAAGTCTTGAATGCAATCAAGCTTCTGAAAGCTGGAAAAGCAGCCGGACCAGATGGAATACCCCCTGAAGCACTGAAAGCAGACCCAGAGACGACAGCAGACATGCTGACTCCATTATTGCAAAAGGTCTGGAAGGAGGGAAAGGTGCCTACTGACTGGAGGAAAGGTTACCTCGTGAAACTACCAAAGAAGGGCGACTTACGCCTCACTCTGCAAGAACTGGCGAGGAATCATGCTCCTGTCGACGCCAAGTAAAATCCTGAGTCGCATCATCCTGGAGAGATTAAAGGACGCACTGGAGACAGAACTCCGACCAGAACAAGCTGGATTCAGGAAAGGCAAATCATGTACTGACCAAATTGCAACTCTACGCATCATCACCGAACAAAGCATGGAATGGCAATCAAACCTCTACCTCAACTTTATAGACTTTGAGAAGGCCTTCGACAGCGTTGATCGTGAAGTAATTTGGAAATTACTCGAGTACTATGGCGTACCCCAAATATTCATCAACCTTATTCAACAGCTGTACGACAACGGCACCTGCCAAGTGATCCACAACGGAAGACTCAGCGAGGCGTTTGGAGTAAACACAGGAGTCAGACAAGGGTGCTTATTATCACCAATGATATTCCTAATTGTGGTGGACTGGATTATGCGTCAGACTGTGGGAAACGAGAAGACAGGATATCCTGGACCGACGTGAAGAACCTAGAAGACCTGGATTTCGCGCGTGGATGATTTATGTTTGATGTCAGTCACAAAATCGAAGACTTACAAGCGAAAACCGACAAACTGGTCGAAGAAGCAGCCGGCGAAGACAGGACTCCAGGTGAACATAGACAAGACGGAGGTGATGAAAATAATCAACCAACAACAACAGCAGAACATCCAGCGTCAATCACCATCAACGGGAGGGATTTGAAAGAGGTTACTTCACTCATTCACTTATCTAGGGAGCATTGTCTCAACTACAGGCAGTCGGAACGGACGAGGATGTCAAATCGAGCGAGAATCGAGAAGGCGAGCGAGAAACACATGAATCAAATAACTGAAACCAATCTGGAAATCTTCGTCACTCAGCCAGCATCAACAACAAAATTCGGTTGGATTTTCAATACAAACAACGTGAAGTCAGTCAGCTCTTCTATACGGATCAGAAACTTGGCAGGCGGTACACAAAGAATATTTCCAACATCCTGTTGCAGACCAGACCTTCATCAACCAACAACTGTCTTCGCTGGATGTGTACTGAAGATCAGATGGCCGGCTGGCCGGGAAGAATCACCAACAAGAAACTATGGGCACTAACAAACAAAACAAGAACCAATCGCCAACCAACAAATATGCAGGAGAAAGTGGAGATGGATCGGACACTCGCTGAGGAGACCGCCGGGTGACGTTGCGCGTCAAGCATTCGAGTGGAACCAGGCCGAAAGGGAAGCGGCGAGTGGGTCGTCAGTGTAAGGGTGACATGGAGGAGATCGTGTGAAGAGTTGAAAGAGTACGGACTAACATGTATGCAGGTGAAATGTACAGCAGAAGACAGAAGTGGCAAGTGGAGACGTGCAGTTGAAGCCCTATGTTCCACTAGGAACCCAAGGAAGCAATAATAATAATAATAATAGTAAATGAGAAATCCCCATATTGAAATCAAAACAAGATTTTGAGCGAACATTTGTGTTCGATAACTTCTTCTTCAGGCTCTATAGTTATAAATCCATGAATAATAGAGTACATATAGCCAATAAAGGCAAATGTAAATAATATCAGAAACTGTATTGGAGTGCATGTGTAAGTTGAGGTGATAGTCCATTAGTTGGCATAGTCAATTAAATGTGCATAGGGTGTTTAGTCAGGAAAATG